TCATGAGCACTCCAACGGGATGTTGACATTATCTTTCACTGTTCTAACAGCAGCATCATGAGCACTCCAACGGGATGTTGACATTATCTTTCACTGTTCTAACAGCAGCATCATGAGCACTCCAACGGGATGTTGACATTATTAACCCCAACATTTCAATGCGTTCAATTAAACAATCTCATCGACGAGTGGATGAGGCAAATAAGTAAAATATTTTCTCAAGAGTATTGAACAAATGTAATACATGAGGCCTTTTCGGCAAAAGAGTGTTGACCACAAAAGTTAAGCGAAAGTCCCACACATCCATTGTTACATTAAGAAATGGCGTCAGCGGGGCGAGTCTAGACTCTTATGCCCCTCCCCCCCAATTACCCCTCCCCGGTCCGACGTATCGGGCCGCGGAGCGGCACGTTGGAGATGCCCATTGGTCAGGACGGCCCCCACGCGGGCCCCTCACCCAAGTCCCCCGCCTGGGCGCCTGGGCGCTTGACCAGGACCCCGCCTGGGGGCCGCCCCAACCAAGAGGCACCCGGTCGACCCGACACTATGCGTTTAAACAGTGCACTCGATCGACTTTCTCAGGAGTTGGGATGGAAAATTTACGTCCTAATATCTTCCCCCACCCATCCCGGGAAAGCGTCGGACGCCTTATAAGAGGGATTCCACAGTGGGTTTCCACAACGTGACTAGTTCACGCTATAGCTGGGACGAAACGGTTGCCTAGGGGCAGCGTTCTCACGGCTGCATTATTTGAATCCTCGGCCAGAGGTTACCACCCTCGCCTCTGGCCTCATACCCGTCACCGGCAACTTGTAATCATGATCCCTACCCTGGCTCTGCCTAACTTTCCGACTGTGAAATATCACAACCGGCAGCCCTGTGGGAGCTGTTTTATGTACGGCAGGTACCGAGCACACCCTTTGTCTGCCCAGGCGGGGCGTGCCCAGTAGTTATGTTTCCAGGCAAACGCCGAGGGGGTCGGTGGCCGACGCTTCCTAATCGGCACGCCACAACAGACTTGTCAACCGGAAACCTGGAACGCCACACATCCATTAAAAATCGCAATCTTATTATTTCTTCTTAGAATGGCCTGAATGACCTGAGACATTATGGCAGCATTATCTCATTACATCTTAGTCTCTGCACAACATTATCCTTGAAGAGCCCTTGGTCTTCAACACAGTACTTACTGACAGTTCCCAGTGTGGATGAACACAGAAAAAAGTCTTAAGGATAGCACCAAAATTATGGAACATTTTGCCTCAATCTTTGAGGGGAATTGAATATGATTAAAAAAAAATTTAAGAAACTTTAAAAACTTTTTTGTCTAAATAGATTTAAGAAAACCAGAGCTTTTTGAGCATGCTAAAGTGACATGGATACCAACGCTATAGACATATAAAGTCAATCAATTATTTCTAGTCTTTCACGTTTTAGATTTGTAAAAAATATCAGAACTGACAGCATCAGATTTTTTCCCCCTTAAAGGGAACAATTCAAGAAACACTTTTCTCACTTCAACTTTCCCATTGTGCATTTTTACATATCTGATTACTTCAGACACATGGTCCGTGTGTGATATGCCAGTATTACTGTCGAACATAATTCCAAAATACCTGGCATCCTTTATATCCATGATAAGAATCTCCTGCACATGATTTGCAAGGACATTTATAAATTCATTTTGGGTTTCTGGTGACAGGTAAGATGGGGATGCTTTTACTGTTGATGTACTCCTCTTAAGTCTCATTTGGGTTCTTTTTTAGCAGTGGGTTTAGATGTTTAGCTGGCATCTCAACCGTTTCCTGCAAGTTTCCTCTATTTACTGAAGATTCATCTGTGGCCACGATCAAATCTCCCGTGGTCTAACTGTGGCCACGATCAAATATCCTGTGGTCTAACTGTGGCCACGATCAAATCTCCCGTGGTCTAACTGTGGCCACGATCAAATATCCCGTGGTCTAACTGTGGCCACGATCAAATATCCCGTCTTCTAACTGTGGCCACGATCAAATCTCCCGTGGTCTAACTGTGGCCACGATCAAATATCCCGTGGTCTAATCTATTCCGATGTCAAATGTTCTGTCTCACCATATGACGTCAGAATAGTTTGTTTCGGATATCGTCTCTCACTTGGTCACAACACTGAGTAGTGTATTTTATACTGAACATTGATTTATTGTACTAAACATCCACTTGGTACACAACGAAGTTGCTACCTAATTACATCCAGCAGAAAACTTTATCCGGAAAATAACCCACAGAAAATCTAACCCAAAAACTATTCTCTCTCTCTCTCTCTCTCTCTCCATCTCTCTCTCCCCCCTCTCTCTCTCACTCTCTCTCTCTCTCTCACTCTCTCTCTCTCACTCTCTCTCTCTCACTCTCTCTCTCTCCCCCTCTCTCTCTCTCACTCTCTCTCTCTCTCACTCTCTCTCTCACTCTCTCTCTCTCCCCCTCTCTCTCTCTCCCCCTCTCTCTCTC